ATTCTATTCTATTCTATTCTATTCTATTCTATTCTATTCTATTCTATTCTGATTCCATGATCTTATTGTGATTGATTCTACTCTTATTGTATGATTCTACTCTATTCTATTTTCTGTCCTCTTCCTTTCCTCTCCTCTCCTCTTCATTCTGTCTTGTCCCACAGCAATCTGTTCCATTTTTCAATTCTGGAGACAGATTGATGCTGGTTTAAGAGGGGTTCAAAGAGGCCATCTCTTCCATCCCCATCCCATTTTTTCCTATTCTATTTCATTCTATTCCTTTCTATCCTATCCTATTCTAATTTGCTCTGGAAGACCAGTAGGGGGCAGCCTTCTCTTAATTTTTTTTTTTTTTTTAGTTTTTGCCAAATCTGAACTTTACACAACAACACCCACATGTTGTGAAGAGGAGATGCCAACAGGGAACCCCCCCCCAAAAGTTACACACACCCTTCTTGCTAATGGCACGAGATTTGCCATGTTACTTCGTCTCCCAGACAAGGCCATGTAGGGAGTGGTGGGTCCTGGAAGCCCTTAAGTCAGTGGTGTCTAACCTTTTTGGGCTCCTGTGCCAAGAATTGTGCCCGTGCCAGCACCCAGAAAGCAATGCACGCCCCCCCCACGTCCCCTACGCATGCGCATGTAATCCCCACCCCGCCATCCCCCACCGCCCCCTTACCTGAACTGCGCCTTACAGCTGATTTTCGGCCAGTTTGAGGCCTTTTTCAGCCTCCCAGAAGCTTGAGGAAGGCTTCTGCAGGCCGAAAACTAGGCCTGTTTCGTCACTTCCAGTATTTCCGGTAAAACACGGTGATGAAACGCAGCTAGTTTTCGGCCTGCAAAGCCTGCAGAAGCCTGCAGAAGCCTTCCTGAAGCCTCTGGGAGGCTGAAAAAGGCCTCAAACTGTCCAAAAATCATCTGTGAATAGCGCGCATGCGCAGTGAGGTAAGTGTGCCTGCAGCTCGCGTGCCAGCACAAATGGCTCTGCGTGCCACCTGTGGCATGCGTGCCATAGGTTCGCCATCACGGCCCTAAGTCTTTCACTTCCACCCGTTCCTTTAGTGACTGTTCAAAGTTGTGACGGCACCAGAAAAAAGTGACTTTATGACCGCGTTTCACACTTACGAACACTTCAGCCCATGTCGCATGGCAGGTGATTAAAATTTGGATGCTACATGACTCCCCTTTTGCGATGTTCTGATGAGCAAATGGGGAAGCCAGGTTCGCTTAACAACCGTGTGACTGACTCACGTGATTCACTTAATGACTGTGGCAAAAAAGGTGGTAAAGCAGGGCAAAATCCACCAAACAACCGTCTTGCTTAGAAATGCACAGAAATGTGGGGCTCCACGGCGGTCACAAGTCGAGGACCACCGGTCCCGTTTGCTCAGCAGCGTTGCAACTTGAAACAGCCACCAAACAAGCAGTTGCAATCCGAGGACCGTCTGTAGAACAGTGATAGCGAACCTGTTTGTTGTGGTGTGCCAAAAGTGCATATGCAATGCAATGGCCCCACCCCCTCTGCACCCTGCCCCGCCCCCTTACCCGCACTGCACATGCGCACAGTTCCCAGCTGATTTTCGGCCCGTTTGAGGCCATTTTCGCCCTCCCGGAGGCTTGAGGGGAGCCTCTGCAGCCTCGGGAGGCCAAAAAACTGGCCCGTTTTGGCACTTCCGGTATTTCCAGAAGGCTGGTTTTTCGGCTTCCTGAGGCGAAAATGGCCTCAAACGGGCCGAAAATCAGCTCGGAGTTGTGTGTATGCGCAGTGCAGGTAAGTTTGGGGCTCGCATGCCCGCACAAATGGCTGTGTGCCACCTGTGGCACGTGTGCCATAGGTTCGCCATCACAGCTGTAGAGAAATGCAATCAACCCATCACGTCAAACCAGCATGACCCGCTGAGCGAATTTTTTTCCTTCTCTTGCAAGGTTGCAGATGATGGCTGAATGCCAACATTTTTTTTCATGTAATTCTGGCCATTTTGTTTTTGATAAAATCTGTACCTGACCCAGGTGTTCCTGGGCCCCAGGACAACCGATAGGGGACGCATAAGCTTGATTTAATGGACGGGGAATGGGGCAGACTCTGTACCTGACCGCAGCATAAACTGATCGGTGATTTAGGTGTCCGCTCACACCTTCGGCGTCGAAAGTTACAACCTGGGTGGAAAAGAACCAGAGAAAGCAATTGTGTGACTCAAGGGGAAGAAGGTGTTTTCCACCAGAAAGGTGGCGTGGGAATTTCTGAGGCAGCAAAAATGAATCAAAACTTACTTGGGAAGGGAGGGAGGGAAGGAGCGAAGGAAGGAGGAGAAGGGGAAAAGAAGGAAGAGAAGGGAAAGGAAGGAAGGAGGGAGGAAAGAAAGGAAGGAGAAGAGAAAGGAAGGAAGGAAGAGAAGGAAAAGGAAGGAGGGAGGGAAGGAAGGAAGGAAGAAGGGAAGGAGGGAGGAAAGGAAGGAGAAGGGAAAGGAAGGAAGGAAGGAGGGAGGGAGGGAAGGAAAGAGGGAAGAAAGGAAGGAGGCGAAGGGAAAGGAAAGAAGGAGGGAAGGAAGGAAGGAAGGGAGTGAAGAGGACAGAGGAGTGTAGAAAGGGAGGGAGGGAGAGAGAAGGAAAGAAAGAAGGGAGGGAGAGGGAGTTGAGGGGAGGAGACTGGTACGGGGTGTTGTTCTGTTGTTCTGTCACTAAACCAGAGATGGCTGCGTTCAATGTACATGGAGAAATTTCCGGCAGAAAAATATACAACCAACCATATTTTGGGCTTTCACAACTTTGATGGGCCTTATTTTTAGGCAGGAGGAGGAACCTGAGCTGCCCAAAAAAGTCAACACCAGGCAGCGTTGAACAGCTTGGTCTTCGAAGTTCACCCTGGGCCAAGCCAAGGCCAGGATCTGCCAACAGAGATTTTAACGTGGATTGTTGCCCTGGCCTATAATTTCCAGGCGGAAAATAAAACCCTGGCATTTCCTAACTTCGCAGCCTCTTCGCCCTTGGAGATTTGCAGAAATGGTGGCACGGGTGAAACTCACTGAGAAATAACATTGATCATAAAATATTAGGCTGTCAAGCAAAGAAAAGTTGGAGTCAATGAGAAATACTTAAAATATTAAATTACCAAATCGATTTGGTGGGTTTTGATGTGTGAGAAGATCAGCTCTGCGAGGAGAGGAATGTCCCACTTGGCAGACGGATGGTCTGGAAGCTTCCTAGACATGAATAAAAGGAGGGAGGGAGGGAGGGAAAGAGGGAAGGAAGGAAGGA